GGGGGGGGGGGTCAACCATGCCATCCATATCTTTCTACGCACAAAACCTTGCTATGGAATGGACAGAAACTTCGTAACCCGACAGGTTGCCGCCTGAACGGTGGCTTGCTACGCCCCAACACGGCCCTGTGCTGCCTGCCAGTGTAACAGGAAAAAAGCGCCACCACTCGCTACCTACGCATACGGGTCTTTGTGTGCGGTTAAATACCGTTCAGTCCCTTGCCGGAGACGCGTCCGTGCTCATGCCCTGTCCCTATTCTAGTATGACAACACAAGGTAAGCAATTCGTCAGGGAAGAGTACAGGTCAGAAAAACATATCGCGCCCGAGAAAACAAGGATGGCAAAAAACCAAAAGCTAGGTCGAAAAACGAAAGAGTCAACATCTTCAGCATAGCAGGGCAAGCCTATCACGCAGGAAAAAACATGCAGAGACCCGTCAGACTCGAGCTATTAAAATCCAGAGTGACAGAAGGTCAAGAATCGGACACCCCTGTTGCTACGGCAGCGACCTTTGCAATCTTCGCCATTCTGCTGGGGGGAGGGGATTCTTCCCCCCCGTCCCCGCTGCTCCCGTCCTTCTCCCCACCACCCTCGTCGTCGTCATCGTCGTTGTCGTCGTCGTCGTCCGCTCCCGGCGTCCTTCCGATCGCCTTGTTCAGCAGGGCCATCCCCAAAGTCTGCTCAGCAGCAGAAAAGGGTACGGCACGTAAGGATAGCGAGCACGCGAGTTAAACCTCGTACTGCTGTTCTCAAGGGGCACATCGAAAATCGGTTCCAAGAAAGTCCGAGGAGAAGCGACAGCAGCCTTGCAAGCGAGTTATTTCAACGCGCTGTCCTTCTTGAGTGTGAAACAACCGGCCGCTAATCCAACTTCCAGAGATATACCTATGTCGATATCCATGCTGTCTCCTCCTGGCCGAGAAAGGCCTAATTTACAGTAGATACATTCAAGATGGCTCTCCCCCAAAACACAATAAATCATGAGCTTTCTTGAGCCTGGAGAGGAGCCGGCGTTGCCATGCAAACGCCGGTCCCTCACAAGGTGTTTTCATGCTAACGTCGGTCTCACGCAAGTGTTGCCGTGCAAACGTCGGTGTTGCCAGGCAAACGCAAGTCTCACAAAGGTGTTGACATGCAAACGTCGGTCCCTTTCAAGGTTTTGCCACGATAGCGTAGGTCTCACAGAGGTGTTACCGTACAGGCGTCGGTCTGTCTGTCTCACCTTGAGCTTGTCGTCGCTGGCCATGACCTTCTTGGTCACCTCGTGGTTCGGGAGGATGCTGAAAGCCATTGCCAGCAGCCCCGCCCACCAGGGGCACCCCACCATCATGCCGAACACAACGCTGTCCACCCCGCGCTCGATCCACTCGCAGTCGTACCCGCGGATCTAGGGGGGATATACATAGTGAGAGGGAGGGAGGGAGGGAGGGAGAGAGGGAGAGAGAGAGAGAGACGGGCAGACAGGGACAGAGAGAGGGGGGCAGAGAAAGAGAGACGGACAGGGACAGAGAGCGATGTCCAACACAGGCATGGCGGGAGGGCGTGGGGTGGTGAGGATTGTTTGAGGAGGGCAGGGACGGAAATCATGGGGTAGTGTCTTCAGCAAAGAAAGAACGGGCGGATGTTGTGAATTCGAGGCTACGAAAACGCTGCCGCGCATGTGCTTCACGCACATCATATGCTGCGCACGCCATGTACTTTTCACCTACGGAGACAGCAGCCAAGCAATGTGCGCTCTATCACATTGAAAATTCATCATTTCGGCAGAAAAACAAACGGCAAATTTCGTACAAGAGTACGAAGTACCGCTGTCCAAAAAGAGGGTTGTGCAACACGCGGTTTTCCTTCTCCTTCCTCAAGTCCCTCCCCAACCCGAACGTGAGGGCATACTTTAGGGTTCCAGGGGTGGACGGAGCTTATGAAACCTTTGAGCGGATCGCCGACTAAAGGTGGGAACAGGGTCAAAGTTGCCTGACGCTGGACGCTATGCGCTTCAAGTGTATGAAGAAAAAAAATGCGTACTCCTACCCCTTCTTCCCATACCAGTGTACGGCGTGTGAGGATATTTGTGGACACGCCATAGAGTCATGCATGCCGTTCGGCGCACGCGTTTCTCGCTCCCAACCTCCCCCCCCCCCCCCCCCCCCCCCCCCCCCCCCCCCCCCCCCCCCCCCCCCCCCCCCCCCCCCCCCCCCCCCCCCCCC